ATTACCGCACTGGAGATTCTTGCAGAAATACGTCGAACCACCTCAAAATCTGTCAATCACAAACTGAAAATCTAAATGGTACGCCAAAACTGTTACGATATGCATGTGACATTTCCTAATCTGTTAAATACGTGAGGGTTCTAGATTTTAAGTCATGTCCTAGTCACCAAATTAAAAACCTTCTCATCGTCCCCAAAGACAAATGCCACCATATTAACGGGGCCGAAATTTGAACCGAGCACCAACTGGATATGTAAGGGGAAGGGAGAGAAATTGGGACTTTTACTGATTACCGCCACGTCAAGATACTCTCTCCTGCCCTATTTACAAACGAAATCGAGGAGCTTTGGGAAAATAGAGACAGATGGAGAGGCTTGGTTGCTAGGCGACCCACATAAAACAAAAGGCTGTGGAAACGTTCTAGGAAGAAGATGAATAAAAACGAAGAAGAAATCTCTTTCCCAGCTGGATGTGATAAAGACCACACACCTCATCTAATGCAACGGCTAACATTGCAGAGTTTCCTTGATCCTTGGCTCGTTTAACGACGCTTTTACAACACTGGTTGTGGGATGAGAGAAAAAGCGATCGTGGCCTAATTGAAGTTAGGTCTACTACCAAAGCTTTTTCTTGTAAATACTGAGGAAAGTCGCTAAGAACGCCAATGAAAATAGAGAGTTACAGAGTCAAGAATCGAACCCCGTTTCTCAAAATAAGAAGCACACGTGACAAAAGCTTAATCGAGATATTCATGGAGTTATGTCTACGCGCCTTACACACCTTCATAACGTGGTACTTGGCCCCATTTGTATGCAAACTTCGAAACGGAAGATCAGAGACACATTTTTTTTTGTAAGTAGTCGTGACAGGTAGACAGAGTAAGATATTTTTATAGTTATATTTTATAATCTGCCACAACTGACAAAGTAAATCAGCACCATGTTTTATCAGTGGAATGCCGTTCTCCGACAGATGTCTCCTGGTACCAGGAGACACAAAGAAACCTTAAAATAACCCCGACTGTTCAACACAAGTGCACATCTTAAAGCATGACACATGTTTAGCATGAGATTCTACAGAACTGTGAAACTGATACCAGTGCACTGTAGCGGGCATAAGGCTACATCACTGCTAGCAAGATACACAAAATTGGCCCCCTAAAATACAACGACACGGTCGATACAACACTCACCACAGTTCACTGTCAAAATTTCTCTTTGATCCTGGCTACATTGCACAAACACATACTTGATGAACCACATACAACGTCCATGTTTATGGAAGCCAGTAACATCTCTGTTCAATGGGTGGTTCAGCACATCTACTCTTAAACTATCTACTAACTGCAAGACTAGTTATTAAATCCAATTATTTCACGTAAACACCATTTGAATAACGGTATAACAATATTATACTGTTTATAATATACAACGGTAGCTTTCAAAACAAAACTATCTCATATTCATAGACGAAAATGAAAAAAAAAACTAAACAAACGAGAGTTTAGACCCATATTCATTCAATCAGTCATTCATTAGTTCGTTCATTCGCCTGATACTTAAGTACGTTAATAATAACATAAGAAGTAAAAATTACACGTTGTAAGAAGTTTCGATTCGGTTCCGCAAGAGGAATTAAAGAGACAAAACACAGAAACAAAAAGTTACAGTGGAATCACGGTTCCGGAGAATTTGACGTAAATACGTCTATGTATTTAAATTATATTTACGTCTCTGTAATGTAATGTAATGTTAACTTCAATGTCATTCATCTTGTTACGAAAGCGGATTGTTGACGGCAGTAATGTAACACAACAATGCCGAGTAAACAGATGACATTTCCTAGGTAACATAACAATGCACGCAAGCTGACCATTGTTGTCGGTCCATATTTAAACATTGTTGATATGGATCTTACACATTTTTCGTTACACTTTTTTCGTAACACTTTTTTGCGGAATGACCCTTCCATATAGACGTATTTACGTCAAAACACTGAAACACAAAAACTGACTCTAGTTTTAACAGTGGGTTAGAGCACTACTAACCGAGACGTAAGCAGAATATGCAACCTACTAAAAATACGACAAATTAGAACATAAAAAAGAAATAACGAAAGGGAAAATGGAAGGAAAAGAGAGAAAAAGATAACTAGCTGAGTGCAAAGATCGGTGGTGTAATGCAATTGCAAATAATTACGACGTGCTCTATCGTAGTTTTGTCAACACAGTTTACGCTGTAAGGGCGACGTACATGGTAAATTCATCCACACTTCTGAACGTAAAAGAAGCTAACTATGGGGCTCATCGTAACGCAAAGAAATAATTAAACTGTAAGGTTAAATCGACCAATAAGTATCGGGAACTGTAAAAATCGAAAGATAGATTTCATTCTGAAACATAAACGTTTACTGTAATACTGAGAGATGAAAACAGCTGTGATAAATAAAGCAGCATTATAAATTAACAGTGAATAAATTATACTTCTCATAATTAATACAAATTAATTATCCTTAGATTCAGAACAAAAGAAATGAAACAGTTCTGAAAATTAATCATCATTACAAGAATGTATAGAAAATTTAATTTAGGAATACACGAAACAAATGAATTACATAAACAGAACGTCTGAATAAGAGAAAAATACGATAAATGGAAGATAAAAGTTGGTATTTTTACAGTCAACAAACATCACAGCTCATAAGCGAGTGTTATATTATAAAATAATTATTTTGTGTCGGTCTCAGTTTTACCAAGTTCCTTCCACAACGAAAACAATGGCGGTCACTTTTAAACTGATAATTACGTGCACTCACTAAGAGTTTATCGGTGTTAGATTCACTAATGCACAAGCTAAAGACCGGTTACTATTCGACATATGTATAACGTACAGGACGTTACGAAACTTCGGTCAAGATACCATTTTTAAATAATTTTATTCGGCAACAATAAGATCGGAATATGTCATGAGACAGATTTGAAGCGGAGACCCACAGAGGCGAACCAATGAAGCTGAAGCCTTGAGATTTTTTTTGTCATAAGACTACCATTTATTATACGGTTACTGCATCAACGAGTCTACCTGATCTTGGATGTGGGTTCGAGATTATTTTCAAAACCTCCAGCTTCCTCCCAGGAACTGAGAGATTTATCAACCAAAGTTTATCTGGGGAATTTGTTATTCCCGGACACAGTGTACATCGTTCTTTTATGGTTACATTTTTATTTCGAGTATGATCTGTGCTTTGAACGAAACCGGTCTCTGGAGTGTTACACTTCTTTTTATGTTCTTTATATAGAGGTTTCATCCACTTTGGTAATACGTTTTGGTCCACTTCATCTGATACGGAATGGTTCATCTGTCATATATACACACACGTCAGCACTCAGAACAGACACTACACTCCATATCTTATTTCTGGATTTGTTCTTTTGAATATGCTACGAGTGACCTGTGATAGTAAAACTCATTTCCAATTTTTAAAACAATCCCGTAACTTGTAAACGCCATATAGGTCTAATCATTGTTTGGTGTCTCCCATTTTTCGTATGGATTTCTCTTTGCTACTGAGGATTTAAACACAAAAAAAACAGCAGATAAATCAGAATAAGAAAGAAACTGTTAGAAGTTACTGCAGGCATGTCACATTTTAAAACTCACCGAAGACAATGACGAAGGTCATCTTGACAGTCTTGACCTTGGCCTTAGGTATGATACCCCTGGAACTAGCCCTCCGGCTGTCATGGTCCTCCTGCTGGAGTTGCTGATGACGTAACATCCTATGTTTACCACTTGCCTGCAAAAGGCTGTTTCCGCCACTATCTGCAACAACAGTAAGCTCGACTATGCAAAACACAAGTATTCAATAACAACTTCCTGTTATTATACGAGTCTCTTTATGCCTTCAAACCTTCTGATTGGAAGTAAAATATAATTGCGCGTTTCAATGGGGTTCTTTAATATTGCTCTCTTCAAAAACTTAACATGACAGATTCAAACATCTCTCTGAAGACGTGGTGCGTTTGCGAACTTCCCATTGCTGACACACACAACGGCCTAATTTACAAAAGCTTTATTTCATGTGCGAATGGAAACACCTAACGTGTTGCAATTTCTCTAGAGCAGTGGTATTCAACCTGGGGGTACGCGAAGACATCTTAGGGGGTACGTGAAATTTTCAAAATATTATTTTATGATAAACACTGAATAATCAGTAATGTAATTTATTTAATTTATTTTAGATGTAGATTATATACTATGTATAACTTGAATTATACACCAACAACTTTGGGGGTGCAAAGTTGAAGAGAAATTATATCTGGGGGTACGCGAACAAAAAAGGTTGAATACCACTGCTCTAGAGAATTTCCAGAATGGATAAATGGACACGTTCATCAACTTGGGCCTTTAAGCTGAAAATCTAAGAGCTGTAGAGACGCCTTTTTAAATAAAACAGTAGGCAACGTATAAAGTCTTAAGAAATGTTCCAATCAGATACGAGATAATGTACAAGTTAAATTTTCCGTATCCGTACTAAGACAAGAACAAATAAGGACAAGGACAAAGTTGGAAGAAGACGTGAAACATGTAACGTCTATTAACAAAGATTTTGCTAGGCTGGCAAGTGGCAACCGAAAAGAATTCACTTCACGACTAACATGTATAACGGAACAAAACGAGTGCTACGAAGCATGCGAACAAAAGAAAATGCAAAAGGGTAAAGAGATAATGACCCTTGAAAAAAAAAAAGAGGGAGGGCTAAGTTAGCGTTAAAAACAGGCTGCTATTTCTACCATGCCAAACAAAATAGAACAAACCATAAAGGAAGCTAAAACTGGGCTTAAAAGACGGAGAAATGCATCGAGGAAAGAAACCACGACGCAGTGGTCCGGTGGATTCCTGTTTTCATTTTCTCTTTCAAATTCAGCTGCACCATGAGACTTGTCTTACGAGGGATCGACCTATCCAAGCACCAAGTGAAATTTCAGGTTCTCACGGCTGCTAGTACGAGGATGGCTGTCTTTAGGGTCGTTGCGCCATGTAATCTAATAAAAGTTTGCGGACGTTTCAGAGGTGCTTGCTACCTACATCAGAGAGAATCCTGATGATGGAGGCAGTTAAACACCTCTGAAACGTCGGTGAACATATTCTTGTTCTGATGACATCAGTTCATGATTACGCCACGTGTATGTGTTTTGTTTCATCCCAGTTAACTCGAGAATATTGACAAATAATATAAGTATTGGGGCCCGCATTAAAAACCACGACCTCCCAAATATGAGGTACGAGTTAATCTCTCAGTCACTTCCAGGTTAGAAAGAATGTAGGTTGCTTTGGCTTGAAATTCTAACTACGCACATACGTGCAATATGTGGGGAAACAATACGCAACAGTTGATGGTTTGTTTTTTAGTGGAATGCAAAATAACAACATGGAGGAATCACGAAATTTATATGACTTTCTGTTTGATGTTTATGATCAATAAACGATTAGAAATAGGAATGTGTATTTTGTACTGTGATAGGCTAAAACATGCCCGCAAATCTATATAGGCTGTCTTATACGTCAAAAATCACAATTTTATTTTGGAATACGTAAAATTATAACAAAGCCGGAATTTTTTAAACGAAATAGGTAGTTATTTTTCTCTGATGGATTTTTTTTCTATGTCATGTTGTCAGTCATTCGTTATAATGTAGCTTGGCTTTGATTCGTCTACATTTTTATGCCTTTCAAGTATAGCCTCCATGCTACAGGCCTATTTCGGATTCAATGCAATAAAATACTGTATACTGACACCAAATAGCAACGTAGCTCCAGGCCTATGAGGCCTTAGCTTCTGTCCACAGAGTTATAACTTCTTAAAATCAGTGTATAAAGTATACATTATACAGAAATAACGAAGCGTTTTACTATGTAAAAAACGCGCTACTCTTCGAAGGGCTGGACGGGTAGGCTACTTGTTCTGTTTATGAAAATAAAATGACTGTAATTTATGGCGCATGGCAGACGTTATACATAAAACAGGTATGCCTAGATCTACATTTAGAAGTATAAAATTGGTATGCAAATGTTAACCACTTCTACACATACATTTTATATTTATTCGAAAACACCCTCTCATTTCGCTGATGAATGATTTAGAACAACGGAGATTTTACTCAACATACTGAATGGATATTACAAAGACTGATTTTTATCGATATAATATTCTGCAGTTGAATATAAATTGTGCTGTTCTCACATAATGAATAAAACATGAAAAATATCGATACCAGCTAATGACCTGTAAAATAACGAGTTTTATATTCTTCTATTCATTAATAACAACGATAAAAGCAGCTCTAGGAAAGTTAATAATAATAATAATTATAATATAATAATAATATGTGCAATGACAATTCTACATTGATTATTCAGAAAAGTGATTAGACACAATTTTTAAATGATCACATCTGATCAATAGCAACCGAATTATGGTATTTACAGAGCAAATGTAGACAACTGAATAGTCACGTGGTCTACGAGTAAGACGCTGTTCTATAATCTCTGGTTCGAGACTAGCAGGGGCGATTGTGAATTATTCGATATGTCTTCCGATTCACTCAGTTCTGACAAAGTAACAAATTTTTGTGTGTTGTGAATACGCCGAGGTGGTACTACCATGGTTTGAATCCCACGTTAATACTTAGCTACCCTAACTGTTATACTCAAAATCAATACGTAGTCTGGGAAAAAGATGTAAATATCGCCTAGTGAGTGCTATAGTCGAAGATGTCGATTCCTGTTTCTACCCCAACCTGTCAGGCAGGAGCCACGAAGGTTAAAGGCCTCACAAATAAATTTCAATCTCTAACGGCGGCAAGTATAAATATGGCAGTTTTCTGGGTTGTTGCGACCTGATGATGAAGGCAGCAAGTGCTTCTAAAACGTCTGTAAACTTCTGCTAGAGAAAACGGAGTAAGAAAGCACAAGACAATCATGTTCAAAGACAATGCAATTCGGTGAAATAATACCTCAGTCTTAAGTAATTTATATCTTAAGTAATTTGTTATCAGTTACTATTTTAACAGTAGCACCCGTCACTTTCTAACACTTCGGGTATGAAGAGTTGAAGACCAAAATCTGTGACGTAGGCTACTGGTCTTCTGTTGTTCCCAAAACGAAAGTTTCCCAAAGCTTCCGGTGGTTGTAGGAAAATCACAAATGTGAGACGGTCTTCCACGGAAATATATGAAAGTACGCGTGACATTCAAAGAAATAGCCTCCGATATCTGAAATTTTAAGTGTATCATTTCATTCTCGTCGTGGGTTTAGAAGGGTCATCCAAGATTCTTCCATCTCAGTGGATTTGAATTCAATGCTACTGCTGGCATATTTTCATATGGGCTTTTATCACCTAAGATGAACGATTCATTTACCACAAATCACTGTCAAACCTGCTCAGACAGAAATATGTTGCTTTTTCCGTCTTTATAACGGGTGAAACAGACGATTGAACAGAAATGGTTCTCAGCGCATTATCGTTAATCTGTCAGAAATTTAATCGATTTATTTACGCGGTTTAAGTATTAGTGAAACTTAATTAATAGGATTAATTTAAATAAACGCAATTTTAAGCATCAGGCATAGTACTGGACTGGTGATAATGGTAGTAATCTTTTAATTATACATGTTTACCATATATATCGCCCTATAAATGGTCATATTTATTTATTCAAGCATGAATTGATACAAAAACAAATTAACCAACCATTTACTTAAATGCTGCTCTACATATACAAAGCAAGTGCACTCTAAACACCTCCCCCCCACCTCCAACAGACTTGTAATTCCAAAGCTGTTTCACGAATCACAGGTTGTAAACCTATTCTCTGCATCAAGACCTGAATTACATCGACAGTTAACAACAACGTCAAGGAAGGAAGAATTTTATGGAGCACGTAACATGACCTGTCCAGAGTTTTCTTAAAGGAATCGAATTACACTGAAAAGCTACGAAAGATAAACAGCAGAGTCTACAATAGAACGAAAAACAAAAAATTCGAACCCTGATAGTATTTTGCTGACGTTTCTATCATTGGGCTTCAGCTATTTATTCTCCTAACCCGGCGTACAGTCCTTGGGAAGATGGCAAGCGCTCAACTGGTAAAGAAATCTCCCGCCTTTCCTCAAACCCGAAGGTCCATTTACGGTTTAAAAAACCCACAACTGCACACCATTCTGAGCCAGGAATACAGTCCACACACATATACGTTGTTGCTTTAATATTATCCTTCCATCTACATCTAGGTCTCTAAGTGCGTTCGTCTCTTCAACGCACACACCCGGAAAAAATTCTATTATTTCCATCATATAATAACACTGATGTCTGATTTGAGGTTTACACAGCGGCGAGTATGAAGATTTCCGTCTTCTGGGTTGTTGCGCTGTGTAGTCTGGTCGATGTTTACCAACGTTTCAGAGGTTATACTGTCTCCGTCATCAGGGCGATTCATCGTGACCTGATGACGGAGGCAACACAGCACAACAACCCAGAAGAAAGAAATCTTCTTAACACTGATGTCCATTGCTGAAAGTTTCACACCTCATTTGAAGCCCTCCATATACCTCATAAAATGCTTATATGAGACACAATGACGCAAATCATTTTCTTACCACGTTTATGTGTACCAGTGAACCTGTCTGCACGTTATATCTTAGAAAATACTAAACAGATTTCGAAGAAATTTAGTCCTAGGAGTGCATACCAAAGGTTGAACTCAGCGACTTCATTCTCTAATCAGTCAGTATGCCATAGTAACAGTAAGTCAGAGATAATAAGCTACTAGATCACTAAGTAAAATATAAAATATCTCTTAAAAAACAAGTAAAGTTTATACTTAAAAGAAGACATTTATGTTTCCTGATACTGTGACACGTACCCGGTCGCTGTGCGCAGGGTAGAAACCGTTGATCCTAGGGATTAGAACTTCTGGACCCAACAACGACTTCAAGTAAGTAGAAATCCCAGTTACAAATTGTCAGACAACTGCGTTTCAAATGCTCCTGAGAAGTTTCTGTGTCATTATGGTAAAACTTCTGGTGGCATAAGCGGAATTTTCGCGTATACAGAACTCTCTAAAGCGGAGTTTAACATCAGACAAAGGTTCGCTCTCCTTCAGGCTTTGGAAATTACTTTCCAACATGGGCATAGTCCGTGTGTTTGGGTTTTATGTACCTACAGTGTATTCATAGTCCACAATTTCGCAAGTTGGAAGGTGAGTTCATTACAGGAATACCAAGCGAACTGAAACCTTATAACGAAGGTCTAGGCCAGGGATGTCCAAACATCGCAGAACGTTTACGACAGAAAACTCTTCATCATTTAGCGTCTATTGCGACATTACGTTTCTAGGAAGTTTTTACAATGGTATAATTTATAAACGCACACACGACAGTTTAGTGGGTTCAGGCACCTTTAGAGTACGCGTTGTCTGACAGCATACAAGAATTTCAGCTCATCCACAATACCTGGAAACATTGCTGGAAATCATTTTCAGAAAGAGTTTTTTTAGACCTAATTAGACCTAAGTAATTTAAAATGATACCATTACTCAAATACCTTCAGTTTCGTAAACATAAAAGAAGGCGGGCGAGTAGGATGTGTCTTACAACTCTGGTATTTGTCTCTAACCGAAAATCGTTTTACCGAAAGTGGTGATAAACCGACAGAGAATTTCAAATAATTACCTTGGTAAGCTACTACTAGCTTCTCAAGAAGACCTCTGATCCACGGAGTTACTGTAAAAAGAATTATGCGGTGGACAGAAAGAAATTAATATAATTTTCAAAACAAACTCTCTTCCGTGGGAATTTTCCAAACAGTCTTATCTGTCTTGACTGCGATAAATCTATATAAGATCTATCAGTAAGCAGTCTATCGTAGATTGTGAATCCAGACACACAGACGTCTATCGACTTTAGAAATAAGGTGAAATAAAGATCGATTTCACTTCAGTAAACATAGCGGTACTGGAAGGAAAACGTCTTTGTTTAATCCAGTGACTGGGACTTACATCCACTGTCTAAGTAACTTGCATCACCTGGTACTTGATATAAAATCGATACGATCGCTTCCTTCCACATCCATACCAAATAATAATTTTTATATTGCTCCTGTAACTGGAATGGATTTTTAAATTACCTGCCGTTCCAAACTACATATAGTGTGTAACTCTGTTGGCAAGAGTCTACAGATGGCACATTTAATTTTCCAGCTCACTGATTTGATGTAGGGTTTCCAGTTATCGAAGACCGCTCTGGTAGCTCAACATTCCGGCCTTGCACTTAAGGGTCAAAAGAGGAGTTTCCCCGTCACAGATCGGAATCTCACAAAGCGCACGAAATAGAACCCTCGAATCACTACAAGTTTAAATTCGGTGGACACGTCTCAGCATATGTGGCACAGGGAAGTACAGGCCTAACAGCATTCTATTTGTCTAATGTTCCGCCAGTCCGAAGTGGTTAGCGCTTTAACATCGTATTCGTAAGGTCCCGGGTTCAAACTTCGACACGGAGACTGGCTATTCTGACCAATGCCTTCCGTAGTTTTATCAGTCATCCAGACACAAACCGCGCCTTAAATTACACCACGAATTCATCTTTCCACATCCTTTCCAATTTATTATTCATTAACCTGTCATTTGACGCTGTCTAGTCTGAGCTATTTACAGCGTCGTTAAATAAACCATACGTATATAAATACAACACATAATCCTATTACGAACACCAAATATTCTAGTGGTATAACAGTCTTCATTATTAAAAGAGTAATTAAAGCCACAGAGAAGTATTACAGATCAATTACATAAGCATATAACTTACTTTGCAATGAAAACGTTCTTAATTCTGCAAAAGACAACACATTTCTTTATTTTTTGCCTAACACGTACTTTTTTCCGGCGTTCTCTTATTATTCAAACAACTAAGTCGATAACATTTCCCATAACATCTTCTTCCTTATAAAGTTACTAACAATTGTTGCAGGGCACTACGATCTCTGAAACAAAATAACTACTTAAATCTAATTTAACTCAGCACACAAACGGTAACTTGTAAGCTAATCGCTTAAGCTTGGAATCAACCTGGTAATCGACCCTACACAGTCCACCTTCAACAGAGTAGTTGGCGTTGATCCGATGCCAAAATTCGCTCAAGAATGACATCGAGTACCTAACATGGATTCCAAGACAAGAAACCCAGGACAATGAGCATTTCCCAAGCCCTGGATAACACTCATGCAGGGAACAGACGTACCAAATCCCACACATTTTTGTCTTCAACTCAAGCTCACTCAGACTTTCTGACATGGCTTTGTTCAGCGATATTACTGAGAGGAGTTCAGATGCAGAAATCCATTAGAGAAGGGCACTCACTGCGCGATTGTCGTCTGTTTGGATCCGGCGTCAACTGCTTGCTTTTACTCCAGATCGTGGATACAATGACGGTGTAGCAGGCAGAAATGATGACGGCTGGTAAAACGAACAGGGTGACCGCCACGAGCGTCATGTACAGCTGCCACTGCCATTGCTCAGAGAAGTCAATCCAGCACTGAAGGCGACCTGAGACAAGAATGCCACTTAAGTTTTGAGACATTAATGAACCACATGAGAGTTTAGGTGCTCACAGCGGCGAGTATGAATATTTCTGTCTTCTGGGTTGTTGCGCTGTGTAGTCTGGTCGATGTTTACCGACGTTTCAGAGGTCATACTGCCTCCGTCATCAGGGCGATGAATGACAGAGACAGTATGACCTCTGAAACGTTGGTAAACATCGACCAGACTACACAGCGCAACAACCCAGAAGACAGAAATCTTCATACTCATCGCCCTGATTACGGAGGCAGTATGACCTCTGGAACGTTGGTAAACATCGACCAGACTGCACAGCGCAACAACCCAGAAGACAGAAATCTTCACCTCTTTGCATTGATTTATACAGAGTAGTTCCAGTTTTGTCACTTACGGTCTCCGCATGGACTTACCTGCTTTAGATGCTCGTAATAAAATACTGTAACATGTGGAGTAGCAAGCAATATTGTCAACTATGGCACAGTAACTTTGGTGCAAATAAATTTCTGCACTCCGGGGTCTGGGGACTGTATCTTACGGTTTGTCCATCATCCCCAATTTTGCGTCTCCATTTGTAAAACTGATAACTATTTTAAACCGAGTTACATTCGTTGATATTTTAATTCATAATGTTAGAAAATATTATTTCAGTGCATTCTTTTACAAATGCAAAAAAATTCAGATTAATTTACATCTGAAGAATATTTACTATTAGTATTCATGGCCAATTTAAGGTCCTATCTTGTTATATTCCTGAAGGGTTTGAAAAAATCCATGAAAACTTCCAATCAAGGTAGCCAATATCCTAGCCGACATTTGAAACTGAAATCTCCCGTAAACGAAAGTGCAGCAGCAAAACTATCGGTCACGAAAATCGATGTTCGAGAGACAAACTGAAAGGATACGAGATAGATGGAACTAACTCACCAATGTCCAATGGCGACATTTGATACAGCGGTGTTGAACTTTCCGTTTACTAACTTAGTTATTGATCACCTGTCATTACTGCACAATAAACAAATTGTTTGTAAAACATTAGTATAAAAACTGGTATTGTTACTATATTAGCTGAAACGTATTATATTGTGGAGCACAATATAATAATTTACTGACTCATACTTTCGACAGGACGCGAGGGTAATTAATTTTCGATCGAAATAAAATTGCTGCCTGTCTTAATTACACTTCGTGAAGAACATAACAGATTGGTTTATGTAGCCGTAAAGAAATTTTCACAAAGGTACAAAAATAAAGTTTATTCATTCTCTAAAGGTTTGTGCGGGAATTCTAATTAAATTATTTTTTCTTTTATTGTTGTGCTGGATAATGAACGGTATACCGCTCTCATATGACTGACAGACATCAGAAAATGGAACTGTTGGTGAGTAATGCCATAGGCTATACTAGCACACATCAAAGAACACAATAAACAAAATTAATTTTTCATTTGTACTCACCAAATAAACTATAACACTTAAAGACAGAACCAATAAAGCTTACGTTCCTATCACAAAAACTTCCAGTGCTATAAATCTTGCGCTCTGAATGTCATATTTGGGTAATGTAAATGTATTACCTCGTTCCAGGATTGCAATGAAATTTAATTCATGGATTAGCGTGCTGGCCTTTTGCGCAGACGGCCACAGATAAAATCCTAGACAAGACAGAACATACTCTCAGTAGATGAAAATTACGGTTTGTCCATCATCCCCAATTTTGCGTCTCCATTTGTAAAACTGATAACTATTTTAAACCGAGTTACATTCGTTGATATTTTAATTCATAATGTTAGAAAATATTATTTCAGTGCATTCTTTTACAAATGCAAAAAAATTCAGATTAATTTACATCTGAAGAATATTTACTATTAGTATTCATGGCCAATTTAAGGTCCTATCTTGTTATATTCCTGAAGGGTTTGAAAAAATCCATGAAAACTTCCAATCAAGGTAGCCAATATCCTAGCCGACATTTGAAACTGAAATCTCCCGTAAACGAAAGTGCAGCAGCAAAACTATCGGTCACGAAAATCGATGTTCGAGAGACAAACTGAAAGGATACGAGATAGATGGAACTAACTCACCAATGTCCAATGGCGACATTTGATACAGCGGTGTTGAACTTTCCGTTTACTAACTTAGTTATTGATCACCTGTCATTACTGCACAATAAACAAATTGTTTGTAAAACATTAGTATAAAAACTGGTATTGTTACTATATTAGCTGAAACGTATTATATTGTGGAGCACAATATAATAATTTACTGACTCATACTTTCGACAGGACGCGAGGGTAATTAATTTTCGATCGAAATAAAATTGCTGCCTGTCTTAATTACACTTCGTGAAGAACATAACAGATTGGTTTATGTAGCCGTAAAGAAATTTTCACAAAGGTACAAAAATAAAGTTTATTCATTCTCTAAAGGTTTGTGCGGGAATTCTAATTAAATTATTTTTTCTTTTATTGTTGTGCTGGATAATGAACGGTATACCGCTCTCATATGACTGACAGACATCAGAAAATGGAACTGTTGGTGAGTAATGCCATAGGCTATACTAGCACACATCAAAGAACACAATAAACAAAATTAATTTTTCATTTGTACTCACCAAATAAACTATAACACTTAAAGACAGAACCAATAAAGCTTACGTTCCTATCACAAAAACTTCCAGTGCTATAAATCTTGCGCTCTGAATGTCATATTTGGGTAATGTAAATGTATTACCTCGTTCCAGGATTGCAATGAAATTTAATTCATGGATTAGCGTGCTGGCCTTTTGCGCAGACGGCCACAGATAAAATCCTAGACAAGACAGAACATACTCTCAGTAGATGAAAATAAATTATATATTATTATTATTATTATTATTATTTCATTTTGTGTAAGAATAAACTACAAATTTTGTATATCTCAAATTTGTTGGATATACTCCAAAGATTCGTACGGTGACCACGTTTGATTTTTGACTTATACGCAGTATTTCATATAAGATATTTGAGTACGCTTATAATCTGTCTCTACACCAAATTTCACATCCTTATCTCCAATGGTTCATTGGTCATCGCCATCATACCGAAATTCACAACTGTCACAACAAGACTTTGAATGTTGACCTCAAGATGTCATAGTACGCCTGCACATTACTAGAAAACTAGTCGGCCCACTTAATTTTATCACACCCAGCTGCAGTAGGTAGAATACGTACATAAAAGTAGTTAACGACTGCAGGCTAGCACGGAATCAAAACATTCATTTTATCAATTCATTTATTCAACTGCAAATTCACTAAATTATTTATTACGATTTCCATAATTCCAATATATTTTGTATGCGTGAAGTAGTAAATTAAAGAGGATCGTATTATTTTTTAATGTCTGAACATCGCAGCGGACCATAGTTTTCTTACCCCTAACCTTTTTTTTAAGTGTTCTGTCTGACGACAGGTCCATATAAACAGGATCCTTCCATCCTTTTCTCGGACTGGGACCTGTTCATATACGTTCTTGGCAGATGATCCAGAAGTGGTTTGCCATTGCCTTCTTCTGTGTGTGAATGGAGTAATTGTTGGGATGCCACGGAGAAACCGGGGAAGCCCCCGGAGGAAAACTCCGTGTTGGCTAGACCACGGCCTTGCCCAACACAAGTTATAAATTCGGGCACCGCCGGGAATCGAACCCGAGACCCCAGGATTACAAGGCCAGCGTTCTAACCGCTAGACCACCGTGGCTGTCACTTATCGAACAAAAATGTCAAATGGGAAATAACCCAATGAGAACGCGCGTTTCTTTGATAAGAGAATTACCACATTATTGATACTTGCAAAGGCGATAATAAACCTACGTGATCCATAAAAGGTGGAGAATTTGTTACCAACTAAACGACCATCATCTTTTAAAGAGGAGTGTGTCTATCATTTTCTTTAAGGTTAAAAGGCTTGGCATACGCGATCGCTTTCAGTCCTGAGTACAAAAACGACACAATTTACTTTAACATCAATTACGAGCATCAACAGAATATTTGCGTAGACCTACAGACGAGACTTTGCGTGTCTTACTTTCTGACAGGGGTCATTTTTCACACCTGGATCATATGAATGATTACTGAGTATTTTTTTGTGTAACACGTTTATATTCTTATCGAAAATTCTGGCACCTTGCCACCTGCACTGATAAATATCCAAGCAGAGTTCAAACTGACACAAGATCATTAATCATCTCCTTTTCAAAATATATCAATAGGTACTGGTGCTGTGGTTGAAGGAGACAGTTTGGCGCACGCAAAAACTCGTGTTAAACTAATTAATATAACACTTGTAACCCCCGGTAACTTCCAAACACATGAGAGTTCATCAACAGTTTCCAGCATCGCTCATTATGATCCATTATACTACATCTTTAACAAGCCGCGAGCTCCTGGAACGTATGCAAACAACAACACGTCGATTTTTTGGTAACTCATGACGTCTGTGATAGAATGTCAGCAACTTTATCTTGTACGTCTACCGGCGATTTCAACAAAGTAGATTTAACTGACATCAAAGAGTGTTTACTTTAAAATATCAAACTGGGCTCGTGAATCGAACTACAGCCCACCGAACTTCACAGTCGACTGTTAACATTATTAATTCATAATCGGTAAGTGGTGTGAGAATTTCCTTAGTCTATTACGGAGTCTGTCACACGACAGCGTCCTTCAACACACTTCCAAATTATCATTCAGAAATCATTCTCATATCCAACGCTGAACAGTTGGAAAGGTGTGGTTAGAGGAACAAATGCATTAAGTATCATCAGAATTTTATATTTACACAAAACATATTATATTGTTAAAGAAATGTACAGTTTCTTTTAAGGAAATTGTTGGAAGTAATACAAAGTGGCAGCATGCCACAGCAACGCCAAATCTGTACTTAGTTTTCCGTCTGACGGCCAGAACTAACGAACCACTGGACTAACACGTGGCATTCTTTACGGAGACAGACTACAAACGTACGCATAGACTGTATTAAACATTGCTACTGGTCTGTGCAATAAGTATCACACACAAGGTGACTGAGAAAATAAGATGTTATATCTGTCGGGTTCGATTCTCGGCGCTGCCCGAATTTATAACTTGTGTTGGGCAAGGCCGTGGTCTCAGAAGAAGGCAATGGTAAACCACTTCTGGATCATCTGCCAAGAACGTATATGAACAGGTCCCAGTCCGAGAAAAGGATGGAAGGATCCTGTTCATATGGACCTGTCGTCAGACAGAACACTAAATAAATATATATAAAATCTGTCAACGGCAACGGAGTTCGAACCTGTATTAGTCGAATTATTGTACAGACATGGGTCACTAATTTGTTAAATAATCCTCGGGCTCAATACCGCAAACACTGCACAAGAATTTATCATTAAATGGATTTGAGATTTCTTGTTAGCCTCACGATGTATAGCGAAGTATTTGATCGAACACAGTCGTCACACGTTCTTCCTAGAACTTTTTATTTCTTACTCATACGTACCAGCTGTTACATTTGGGAGTTCATTCTTTTCTGAGAGTAGTGATTAATGAGGTTTACACTCCTAAACCACAACAGCAAAACCGTGCTTGTAAACACGGACTATTTTGTCTCGTCTTCCAGGAATACACGCACTTCTACATGTTTCGGTTCTTTTTCTTTTTATATTTCAGAAACTCACAAGTCGTGGAAACTGCAACATCATCTTCCATTCACTACGCTAAATTGGTTTTATCTGAAATATTTAATTCTGAGAAATCCATCGAGCATGTACACCTAGAAATTTTCTTCTTTTATCTCTTAGACTACTTAATGACAAATAATAAACTGGGAATTATGTAGAAAGAAGCAGTCCTGGTCTAATTTAAGATACTTTCCCAGCATTCACATTGAAGTACTAAGGAAAAACTTCGTAATAGCCGGTTCCAGGGCGAGATTTGGACCTTGAACCTCCAGGATATGGGGCGGGAGTTCAAAGCACTCACTAACAAAGTTTGGTCACCGTCCAACATTTGTTTGGAGTCACGAAACACGCAGGTCAGCCTCCGGAAAAAGAATCAAACTTGGTACCTTCTGAATATGAAGCAGAACAGAGAGATTCAGCGCGCGATAACATCAAATTAGATGTACATCATACTGAATACTTACTTCATTTCCACAAATGTTCTGGAATATTTTATAAACGGATTTGTTACACACAAAATCCACGTGTTAATTACTAATAACTGCCAAAATTATAAATTAATAAGAAGTAAAAAGCCAAGAAAACATGAAATCACAAAACGCATTAAACAGCTCGATGAAATAGGCGATAAAAGTCTCAAGTGACATAATATTCTTAAAATAATGTTATATTCGAAACCCCACAATATCGCCCAAAGAAATTTTACTACAGAATACGAACCTCTTAATAAGTGAATCGGTGCAGGTACTGGGCTGGTACGTAATAAGGGTATTATAAAAATGTAAATCTGTCAGTAAGAATTATTACTACGTTATAAAATGGACAAAAAGTAATAATGACCGCTAGATTAAGATTACAGTTTCCTCCACTTCGCCACGGGGGCTTCTCTCGTATACAGTCATACTGCTTCATCTTATTTCCACTTCTTAACGATCCAGGTACTATAATTTTAGCGCTCTTAATATCAGACGACGTGTGAACCAATGGATGTTTATTACAGAATGGCAGCAGAAGCCCGAGCGATTACATCTAAGAAATTCTTTAATGAATCTTGGGCTAATACTTCGACTGAGAGTAATGAGGTTCTTGCGCAGCTCTGTTAGGATGTAAAATTAAATTTCCAGAGGCAAATCTGAAAAACTCGCCGTTGCTCCAAATCATTACTCAATTTGATGCTAAATGAACCTGAAATGATGGTAAATGATGTAAGTACGTAGCCATCATTCATTGGGATGTCCCGCTGTGTGGCGTGAGAACCAACAGGTGACTGGAATTCTCAAAACTTCTTACCTTGTATAGGCTTCTCATGGTACAGAATCACGATGGGTACTGAAAAGATGGCGCTGATGACCCACGCGACGGCAACCAGGAGACGAGCGCGCCTCCCTAATGACAAAAAAAAACACCCGGCGCTGTGACGCGTCTCAAAAGCAAACACATACAGGGTGTCCAAGAAAACGTGTCAATGAAAGGGCTAAGCATCAGAATGACAAATAGCAATGAACGTCGGTGCATGCGATAAGACAGCAAACAGGACTGGACACGTGATATCAATCAAAACGTAAATTTGAAATAACGTAACGCGACTTGAAGGGTGTGCTGTCTCGAGTACACTGACATTCCAAAGGCGTTCTTCACGTCACATTTTTGTTCCACTAATGCGATCAGAGGTCATAGATTCGTAACAATATATTCCGACAATTTCATCCCAAACTGCTGCTCAACAACGGGAACCAACGGGCGGATTATGTACGCGACGGAGAAAGAAAATTTAGAACACACGATGTAAGATTTTCTGGCATGACAACAGAAACTGTTATGGAGCATTCTCTAAACGGTGTCATAAATTACAGGGGACTTGAGGCATAAATCTGAGTCAGAACGTTTCCAGTGAACATGTTATGGTAAATTTTACGACCGGTCTCTTAGATTTGAGATTGTCACGTTCAAGTATTTGATATCAAAATATCTATAAACATTTTAAGTAGCCTATTTGGTAAAATATTAAGTATTTCATTAGACATCAAACGACTACTCTACACTGTAGACATGGCAACACTTGTTGTAATGTGTTCAGAGTTATTATTGGATCCTTGGTCAGGTAACAAATTAACAACACCGCAACTGCCCCCATAATAACGTATGACAGATAACCTTACCAACAGAAATTTGTGAGTACATCGTCTAAAAAACTATTATAAATGTTAAAAAAAATATTCCGTTTCATGTAGATTGCCACATGAGATTTGGAGTGGACGGTCTTATCGTCTTCCTTACAAAGGTAAAACCAAGGATGTGCGCTAAGTTTTAAATGCGTAATGTCCCTGTATTTTTCAGAGTAGCAGAACAGTTAAATGGACTTACAACTTCCGGAGAAATTCATGGGATGGGTAATGGCGTCGTATCGGTCGATGCTGAGCGCCACCAAGACATACGTTGAAGAGTACGTGACCACACACTGAAGCAGGGAACAAAGGAACACGACGTCAAAACAGGACCACTTTGCATATATTGCAATGACTGTGTCATTTGTACACTACAAAGTTCTTTGCTCCGAGAAGAACACAAAGCAGAGACATAGAAATTGAAGGGCATAAAGGTATAAAAAAAACGAAGAAGGCGTAATAGAAAATGTCAGAAGTGCTCCTTCACACACTGAAGCATGAACATCCATTTCAAATGAAGAAGTAACACAATGAGTACGTCTACTTGTTACTCTAAAGTTGGCACAACCTGTTCATGTTACAATGATTTATGGCCAAAGGTATCCATGTTGCTGTTTTAAATTTTAATAACTAAAACACTGTAGACAACACAATGTTGCCAGCGCACTTCTGAGTAGAATTATTGGTGGTAACAACACTTCGGAAGAACATAACTCCGCCATCTTCAGGGTAGAGGTGACTCGATTTCTATCCTAAAGATGGCCTGCTATAAACGTATTTTTGTGCATCACTGAAATGTCACTCAAGAATCTAATATTGTTAATAAAACATCTGTTAATATTTAAAGGTGTTTTATTTATACATTTACTTGGCTGTTCTATTTCAGAAACAGTTTATAAAAGTTCTTATTTAGGCCTATGGCGTATTTTTAATTTTATTGTGTCAAATGCCACCTATGTTTACCTAAGCTTACCTGGAGAAAGCGGATAGCTTTGCAAGCTATGTTGCCGGCATTCCAGGCGACTGTTATTCTCCAGACAATATCAGTCAAAACGCTAATGAGACCAACAGACAGGTCTGTAAAAGAGACACTTAGATAAACAGAAAATAGGTTGATTAAAACATACTTCTACGTCTTAAAACTTGAATGAACATATTAGGTATTACGTACTTGATACAATATGTATAATTAAATAAAAGGTTTCCACATAAATGCCTCAGAACTATCAGAAGCTTCTGTATAGATAAACCACATTCCTTATCTGATTAAAAAAGCAATTTTCCTTTCATCCAGTGACATTTCAGAATCGTCAAAGTAGCTCACGTGAGGAGGCTATCCAGATATTAAAGTATGCAAATGGGTTACATGAATCTTACTAGCAGCATCCTGTATAAACCTAGGGAACATCTTGTGATTATATAATTGTGTGCATAGGTTCTTTTATCCTCTGGATCCAAAAGTATTTAACATTAATTTAAAAGTAAGTTGTAAGACGTTAAATGCTTACATATAATCTGAAAAGGTAGCCTATTCCGGTCATACGTATGCCTTGTTATTTATAAGAATGTATACCTAACAAAACTACTGCTTAATGACCCTTGTATAAACACCACCGATTCATTTGTTTCTTAATAATACTGGCACGAAACAAAGATTACATTTTACATTTCAACATTAAACAAAAATCTGACGTGTTAGGAGATTTTAGTTGTGTATATGAATGGTGCTTGTATTTGGTTCAGTTATGTAAAATCTACATGAATGTAATTCAGCTACAATCTTAGGACACATGCACCCACACTGACGGCTAGTATCAACAGCGTATTAACAATTGTCTTTACGTAAAGTCACATCACATTTCGCAAAGCCATTTTAATTTGACTAAGGTGTAAGCTTATTCTCGACTGCAAACACATTAAACAATTCAAACCAAAAATTATAAAATAAACATTTACTAATTATGGCAGCTGTATTTCCTCCACACCACATGTACTAGTTATACCGGCACTGTAAACCTCAGGGAATGTAGGTAAGTGTACCATATTACAATGGCGGGAGCCTGGAGTGACAAAGCAGGGTCAAGAT